TAAAACTATGAAACACTTCAACAATGCTTTATGCGTGTTGAGTGCTCTTTTAACACGTGCTCTCCCCCTCCCCCCCACCCATGGAAAGCTCATACAATCCATATAGAACTCCACTTACATTTTATTAGAGGCCAAGCGTTCTGCTGGAGATATTAAAGAACAATATTAACAAACAAAAAAACTATGAACTTCTTTTCCACCTTCTCTCCTCAAACATCAGTGGGACTCCAGCCACAACAGAACTCCAATTTGCTCCTATAATATTGATTTACCAATTTAGAGCTGAACAGATCTTTTTTTACCTCAGAAAGAAAATCCTAATTTTCCTTCAGAGCTCCGCAATTCTGGAATTACCTCACAGACACAATCAAATCTTCCTCTAGTCTAAAATCCTTTACTAGATCTGTCAACATATCTCCATACAGAATGCACCTGTAATCATGGTGAATTATATTTCATACCTGTTCTGTGATCCATTTATATTTGTATATTAATTTTCTATTATATTGTACCCTATTGTAATAATGTAATGTTTGTGGGCCCAGGATGAGAGAAATCTCAATGCATCCTTCCTGGTAAAATATTTTATTAATGAATCTATTTTGGCATAATAAAAGTGGTTAGTGTGGCGGAACACACCTCGCCACGTGTTCTTGGAGGGGGCTGCTTGCCCGCCTCCTACCTTCTGACTATGGCCCTGGGATATATGGCATTTGAAAACACTATTTGTGCCCTGTGACAACACTGGAGATTGAAAAGAGTAGCCGGTAACCAAAGGCAACCAGCCAATGAGTGTGTCTGGGGGATCCCAAAAAGGGGGTAACCCTTACATACGTTTGAAAAATAAAAAAGGTATAGGAGGATCTAGATAGAGAGGAGGATACACCTCGTCCTTACACTAGGTCAACCAAAAAAGGAATCCCCATCCTAGTTGTAATGCTGGAAAAATCAATTGAATTAAAACTTAACCTTTATTGTTGATGGATAAAACTGTAAATACACGAAAAATAAAAATAATGAATAATAATATATGGAGTGCCACAACTGTGGGTATGAACAGTGAAAATAGAAGGTATAGATAATAATGGTAATGATCCTTTTCAATATCCTTCAAATATCACTTGTAGAGAAATATCTAGCTTGAGTCTAAAAGCCAAAATAGGGTAAATTATAGGGAGGAGAGAGAGAGGAGAATTGTGAACAATGTTGTAGGCTGCTTGTAGAAAAAAGGAAGAAAAAAGGAAGGTAATAGGTTACTAAATAGCAAACTGTATCCAGGGCGAAATAGAAACTAAGTTACACTATATGCCAATGACCACTGTGTGGTGAGGGAAATAGATAGTGTAGCAAAAACCACTGCAGTAAGAGGGAAATAAACTGAGTGGAGAGGGATGCACTGCGGAGATAGAATAAACCGGAGTCCTCCCCTCCTCAAGTGCCCCCCAAAGAACCTTTCCGCTGGTAACAAAAAATCTGGAATCTAAGTAGCCGTAAACGCTTGAATCTAACCTATCTAGTGGCAGTAGCTAAACGAAACTGCCTTGTAAATCCCCCCAAAAAGTCCCTTGCACTAGCGGCAAAATACTGGAACCTAAAATGCTCATTACACTCTCTTAGTAAATCCCCCCAAAGATCCCTTGCATTGGCGGCAAAATGCTGGAACCTAAAATGTTCGGGCTCTCTCTAAGCTAGATACAGATGTGGCAAACTCCTGTCTAAACTACCTAACACGCGTTTCAGCGCTAACAATGCGCCTTCGTCAGAGGTAAAGAGGTAAAGCAACAGGCTGTCCCCCTCCCGGTCCTTAAATAGGTATACCGGGTCAGTGAAAATTATGTGGGTGTGTCAAATGTTCGCGCCCAAACGGCGTTTGAACACGCTCCTCCCCCTAATGTGAATGATTGATAGAACATGCTAATGTTCCCATTAGGGAACTATCACCTAAACATTGCACTGGTCATAAATGAAATATATGAGATATAGATAAATACCAGTATATACAATCTAAAGGTTGTTCATTTAAAGTACTACTGTCAGGTGGATTAACCAAATACAGTAGAATAAAGAATAAAGAAAACGGTTTACAAGAATTATGTGCTTTTCATAATAAACAATCATAAAGGAAGTATGTTTATACTGGCACATAAAGAGCTTATGATCCTAATCATTCATGGTGGGATAGCAAATAGTTGAACAGTAAAAAACTGATGACAACGCTTCACATATACTTTAAAAGGGGACAGGGCTTTTCAATCTATTTAAATCAATAAGAAACAAAAGTAGTTACATATATGTGTATATATAATAATGATGCATTAGTGAAGATGTTTATATATTATTCACTGTGTAACTCATTATTCAATGTAGGGAGTGAACGTAAACCCTTCATTTAATCCATTAGGGGCCAATGTATTGAATTTATAAATCCAGAAACATTCCCTTTTGAGGAGGGTGCGATCCAGATCACCTCCTCTACGACCTAATTGCACCTTTTCGATACCTGCAAATTTGATCCCTCGTGTGTCACCATGATGATCATTTCTGATGTGTCTAGAAACTGGGGTATCTCTAAAGTTTCTGACAGAGTGTATGTGTTCCATGACACGTCTCTTAAAGGGGCGGATGGTTTTCCCCACGTATCTCAGGCCACATGTACATGTCAGTAAGTATATGATACCTTTCGTATTACAATTGAAGAATTGCTTAATCTGGCACACTGAATTGTCAGTTAAATCTGAAAAGACTTTTGAGTCTTTCATCATGTACTGACAGGCCACACATCTGCCACATTGGTAGGTGCCCTGTACAGAGAGCCAATTTGTAGTGGCATTCTTAGTGGACAAATGACTAGGAACCAAAACTTCTTTCAAATTTCTGCCTCTGCGTGCTGTGACAGCCTGTTGCTTTACCTCTGACGAAGGCGCATTGTTAGCGCTGAAACGCGCGTTAGGTAGTTTAGACAGGAGTTTGCCACATCTGTATCTAGCTTAGAGAGAGCACGAACATTTTAGGTTCCAGCATTTTGCCGCCAATGCAAGGGATCTTTGGGGGGGATTTACTAAGCATTTTAGGTTCCAGTATTTTGCCGCTAGTGCAAGGGACTTTTTGGGGGGATTTACAAGGCAGTTTCGTTTAGCTACTGCCACTAGATAGGTTAGATTCAAGCGTTTACGGCTACTTAGATTCCAGATTTTTTGTTACCAGCGGAAAGGTTCTTTGGGGGGCACTTGAGGAGGGGAGGACTCCGGTTTATTCTATCTCCGCAGTGCATCCCTCTCCACTCAGTTTATTTCCCTCTTACTGCAGTGGTTTTTGCTACACTATCTATTTCCCTCACCACACAGTGGTCATTGGCATATAGTGCAACTTAGTTTCTATTTCGCCCTGGATACAGTTTGCTATTTAGTAACCTATTACCTTCCTTTTTTCTTCCTTTTTTCTCCTTTTTTCTACAAGCAGCCTACAACATTGTTCACAATTCTCCTCTCTCTCTCCTCCCTATAATTTACCCTATTTTGGCTTTTAGACTCAAGCTAGATATTTCTCTACAAGTGATATTTGAAGGATATTGAAAAGGATCATTACCATTATTATCTATACCTTCTATTTTCACTGTTCATACCCACAGTTGTGGCACTCCATATATTATTATTCATTATTTTTATTTTTCGTGTATTTACAGTTTTATCCATCAACAATAAAGGTTAAGTTTTAATTCAATTGATTTTTCCAGCATTACAACTAGGATGGGGATTCCCTTTTTGGTTGACCTAGTGTAGGGACGAGGTGTATCCTCCTTTATTTTTCAAACACTGGAGATTGTGCACAAATATGACTATTGTCCATATTTTTTATGATTCCCTTCGTTTGTTGCACTGTTCCCCATGTGTTTCATCTGTTGGTCCGCCTGGATAGACTACCAGACAAACTGTGGAGCTACTGGGTGGCCACCATTTCATGTATCAGAGGCACATGGTGAGAACAATGGATGGAGGCCATTTTAACTCACAGACACTGTTTGGACTTTTCTACATGGTGCCATCTCGCCGGTATTTGGTGCACAAAGACATCGTGCAGTAGTTTTAAACTATACAACAGGGGACACATTATACAGTAATTATTTTTTATATAGCCTGTGTATGTTCTGCGGAATCTGCATTAAACTGTGTCTCCCAAGCTACTGAACGGATCAGGGTGAATTTTGGATATGTGGTTCACCCAGATCCCCCGGTTCGAGGATATACTTTTTATGGGGTTTTTGCATGTTTTGGGCTCCCTGTGATATTTTTTATAAAACTGTATTGCTCTGCCTGTGATAATTATATTAACCATTGTGTTCAGTAAACATATCACAGGCAGAGGGAAGGATTTTGTGTGGGAGTGTCTGGGTGTATTGTACGGATTGATTGGTTGTATTTCAAAACCCTGTGGACAGTACTATGTTTGTGGATTGTGAATAAAAGAGGCTGTATGTGCCAGTACAGTCAGTTCTGCTTGACCTCAAAACGAAGTGTCGTCTCGTTATTGGGGAATTGGATTGTATGCTGATTGCCAGGAGTGTAAGCTGATTGTATGCTTTTCCTGTTCAGCTGCTTACAGCATTCATATGCTTGAGAGCATTCGTATGCTTCTCCAGTTCGGTGGTTGTGGTGTCTGCTGCAGTGCTTGGAGTCCTCGGGAAGCGCTAGGAGCATCCTTCAACGGATGTACTCAGTCGGGGTGCCAGGTGATCCGTTACAGTTAGTTTACACAATACACATGCATACCTTAATTTATTGAATAATAAAAAATAAACCCACCTTCAGCAATTAGTGCATTAGTCCTCCGGGTCGATCGGGGAACAGAGCCTCGACACAGTTGCCAGTGCCACCACCAGAAGTGCTGCCACCATTAGTAGTATTTACCCTCAAGAGGGTGGGATTTGCATGTCTGGTCCATCTGATTAACCAGCCAGGAGGATAATGTTTTTTTCCCTCCTTGGTTAAGTCCATCTCTATCTGCTTTTGAATCACTCTATCTGACGGAGAGGGTTGGAACATAATCTGCTACCACTGCCATAGATAGCTCACCACTGTCATTATCACCACCACGACTTGCCATTAGTCATCCAAAGCAAGTTTTACTGGAGCCTCTACTGCCACCCTCATCTTCAGCAGCAACAAGGCGAAGGGTTGAGGCTAATGTATTGTGCCAAGGCAAAGTTTGGGATCATTTTGGATACATCCTAGATTGGTAATTTGCAAATTGTGCGGAAAGGAAGTGGGCATCATCTCACTAGTGTCAGTATGAATCTATAGCTAAAAAAACAACGCAAGTCTCTACTGGGAGAAAAAGAATGTACTCGGGCAGATGGCCCACTGGTCCTTTATCAGATTCTGCCCAACCAACTACCACCAACGGTACCTCCTCCACTTTTAACACCTCCAGGCAGAGGAAGGAATATGTGGAGTATAGTGGCACTAGGCAACAGGGACAGACAGACTCACAGTCCTCGTCATTGCAGGGATGTGTAGGCCATTCCACTCTTAAATGTTTTGTTGGATTTTATTCCAGTGTCAAAAGTGCAGGCTTACAAAATTAACCATCTGATTGCCCAGCTGATTGATGTAAGGAGAGCTTATTTCTTCATAATAAAAGGGGAGCCCTTTCAGCAACTGATATGTTGATATACAATTTGCTGCACAATATGTCATTCCCTCTCGATCATCTCACTTTCAGCAGGAAGAGAAGTCCTATCACTGTACCATACCTTTTATGATGGTATTGCCGAAGCAGCTGAGCTAATGCTGTTGGTCTGTGGGTGCACTGCAGCACAGATTTATAGAGTGCTCCTAGAGGACAGCATGCCTTACTCTTCTCTCCTGAAAGGCACATTGATGGCAGCCCATAGTGCCTGTATATGATGGTGTCTGTGGAAGAAGTCCAAACTTAGCGGCAGGCCCGGACTGGCCATCGGGCACACCGGGCAAATGCCCGATGGGCCGCGGTGGCCGTGGGGCCGAGGCCGGCAGGGGAGGTCCCAGGATCTCCCCTGCCGGTCTATGCAGGGCCGGGACTCTCCTAGCGCCGGCCCCGCTGTTTGCCACGTCGGGCCGGTGGGGAGATCAAAGAAGGAGCTCTAACTTGCAGCTCCGCCGGGTTCCTCTCACGAGATCCGGTGCGTAGCCATGGCAACGACCGGATCTCGCGAGAGTGAACTCTAGCCTCACAGGCTAGAGTTCCCTCACCCACGAGGACCACCAGGGAACACTGCCTCCCAGTCACCAGTGTGCCGCCCCCCCCCCCAGGCTAAAGGTAAGAAGGGAGGGGGTTACATAATGCCTGTTTTGGGTTTTTTGTTTATTTACCACTCCCTTAACACACACACAATAACATTTATACAGCACTCTCACACCCATCACCCACAGCACTCTCTCGCACAGCACTCACAGCACTCTCTCACCCATCACACACAGCACTCTCTCTCACAGCACTCTCTCACACACAGCACTCTCACACACACAGCACTCTCACACACACAGCAACTTCACACACACAGCACACTCACACACAGCACTCTCACACCCAACACTCACACACAGCACTCTCACACCCATCACTCACACACGGCACTCTCACACCCATCACTCACTCACTGCACTCTCACACACATCACACACACACGGCACTCTCACACACACCGCACCCCTCACACACACACATACTGCACCCCTCACATACACACAGAACCCCCCTGTAACGGATCACCTGGCACCCCGACTGGGTACCTCCGTTGAAAGATGCTCCTAGCGCTTCCAGAGGACTCCAAGCACTCCACCAGACACCATAAGCACCGCAGGCTGCAGCTATCTCCCTTCAGAACAAAGCAGGAACAAGCTCTTACAAGAGCTCAGTGATTATAGCTAGGGAATATGCCTAGCATAGCAATCCCTTGTAGCAGATTCCCCCAATAAGAGACAGGACTCAAGTTGAGGGTAAAAATAGAACTCTCTGGCTGCTAGCTTGCAGCCCTTTTTATTAGGTGCTCCCATGAAGGGGAGGGACACACACAGTAACGTACATTAACCAATCACACAATAGTTACATCCCACACATAGCCCTCCCCTCTACCTGTAAACTAATTATCTGTACACACAGGGAAATACAATTATCATAGGTAGGGAAAATACAGTTTTTACACAACATTCATAACTCCCAAAATATACATCACATTCGCATAAAAATACATATTCACAATCAATCCATTCAGGGGAACAACATATTAAAAAATGGCATGAATCAGACCAGGGGTTCAAAAGTTAGTAAAAGTATCTTTTGTTCCCCCTGGCTCAAACAGTAAAAGTAAAACATCCCCACAATGCATCCTGGCTTCCTCCCTTCTGCCCTGGAGATAATTGGAGAAGGAATCTAATTATCTCCAAAGACAGAGCCAAACTCCATTACCCACATGGCAGACAAAAAGACAGTAAAAGACATAAAATTACATACTGACACATTTAGTACATAAAACACACATTTCTACATATCCCCAGATAGCTTGGATCTGACTGCACATTATTAGATGAATGGCACTCAGATCACACGAATAAGCCTTTCTGCAGGGAAAATAAACAGTTTAACCTGCAGGGCCATAGTCCAAAGGCAAGAGGCGGGCAAGCAGCCCCCTCCAAGGACACGTGGCGAGGTCGGTTTTGCCACACCCCCCCAACACACTGCACCACACACATACACAATACTTCCAAATATATATATATATATATATATATATACACACACACTCACTACACTCTTAACATACACACTCTGGATCCCCTATACACACACTAGATTCCTTTTTAAGCAAACACATACTACACCCCTAAACACACACTACATCACCTATACACACACACACACACACACTATAGCCTGTATGCACACACTTGCTATATCCCCAATACACACATTCTCTACAGCCCCTAGCCACATATGCATTACATTACACCACAAACACAATACGACTAAAACCAACCTTATTACACAATACCACACCACGACCAGCTCACTCTACACACACGCAATACCACAAGCAGGCTCCAAACACATGCACAATACTCTTTCCTGGCCCTTTTGTCTCCTGGTATCTATTTATAGAGACACCAGAGACAAGTTGCAAGGAAACACAGTGCAAGCATGTTATTAAATTTGCTTGCACTGTGCAGAACAAATACAGGGCTTTTTTCTCATGCTAGAGCTCTTCAGCAGAGCTCTGCGCATGGTCTGCCCTGGAAGAGCATTGAACCAACATGCTCACTTTGAGAGGAGGCGTGTTTGTCATTGGTGATGACAAAACACACCTCCTCTGCCCCGCCCCCTTTTTAGTAGGCCGCTGTGATAAAAAAATGCCTGGGCCGAATTTTTCTCCCAGTCCGGCCCTGCTTAGCGGTATGGCAGGCTGAGAGTGGATCTTTAGGGCAGCAGGGCTATCAATCTCTCCTGCTGTGTGTTGACGTGATGGAGGAAAGCAACATTTTATAAAACATCTTGACATCGTGCCAGATTGTTTGGCATGGCAGGCAAAGTGCACCATCTGCATGTTGTGTTTGTGGTCAGCAAAGGAGCTACTAATGTGGTCAAAGCTCTGCAAGATGGTTTCTTTGTAGGTGTGTGCTGTTCCATACATATTCTGCATCATGTACTGAAGGCTGCAATTCCAGCAGGCAACACAAAGGTGATAACCATCCTTGAATAAATCAGAAATAAGTTGGCAAGAGCACACTAAAACACATGCATACTACCATCCATGTATACATAAATGAATCCTGCAGATAAAACAAAACAGGAAAACCAACATAGGGTAATAACATTTAAAATAAGTGAAACCAGTAATGAAATTAGTCTCACTCACATGGTCATGAGCCACTTAAGCTGGCTCAGACTAAGGGTATTGAAATCAGTACAGGTGGTCTCAAGGTGCCAGACTGCCTTCTCCGTGTTGTCCTTATGGGTATTTTACCAGATATTCCAGGATGCATGATATCAGCAGAAAAATAAATTTATTGGACAAACTATTACAAGACCGCATTAAAACCAAATGAAGAGTCCACTATACATGTAACTTGACGCGTTTCGGCATTAGCCTTTTTTCAAAAGTTCATTCTCTCTGTTCAGATCTTGAAATATGCCAGTATTGGCGTCTTTTTTCTGAATGGAGACTCCTCCTCCTTCCGTTTTTGGCGCCAAGACTGCATCCTACGTCCTGGCGCCCTGTCCATCTAGTTCCGCTTTCATCATTAGTGACGTCATGACGCTGCCCCTGTCACATGATGCCATGTTCTGCGGATCAGTCTGGTGATGGCTTCCGGTATCCAGTACTCTTTTTACATTTCTTGTTTAGTTTTTCTTGGTTTTTCTGGTTTTCTATTCTATGTCTGGTTTTCTTTATGCTGGGTTTTTCTGGGTCCATTCCTGTAATCCATCCCTGTGATTCCCAGTCTCCAGGTTTCCTTTAAATGTTTGTTTTATTTGCCACATCGGTTTGTTTTCCATTTTCCTTTTGTTTCAGTCTGGACCTGCAGCAGTGTTTTAAGTCTCTGCCCTTTCTTGCAGGTAAGTGCTATTGTGGTTTAGTATGGCTCTTTTAGCGAACATTAGGCAGTGTAGGACCTGCCAGATATGGGGTACATTGACGTTGTTGGCAGGCTTATGCAATGTATGATCACATGATGTGACTAAATCCCCATACTTTTCATATATAGTGCTTAGTTATTTCTCCTCTTGTTTTGCCTATCGTATCTTGTCTTGTTTTATTTTGTATTCCCAGTCCATGTACAGTCCTGTCCTGCCCTGTTTAGTTAATGTTCCCTTATGTATTGTGTACTTGTTCTGGGTTTAGCTTCCTATCCTTCTCTGGTTCTGGGTTCTACTAGTTCTGTCCTGTTTTCATGTTTGGTGACTATCCTAGCCTTGCCTTGTTTCTGTACTGAATACATGTCTGGATACATCCAGTTCCTGGGAGGTCTGCATATCAAGCTCCTAGTTCCTGGGATCCGCTGTAGCTGCATCAGGGTTCTGGTTTGTGGCCGCACAAAAGCTGGTGCTCAACACCAGGGGGCATGCGGTTACCCTGCACCGGGCCCTATAATCCACTTCCACGCTGAGACTCCCAACTCCACTTCAGGCACTCAGGGGTCCCGGTTTCCATACTGCCACCCGTGACAGCCCCTCACCTCTGCGTCATGACGTCTATCGGGCGGGGTGAAGTTCTCGCCAATTTTCCCTTATCAATTATGAAGGTTTGATTATTAAGATTTTGACATGTCTATCTTCCAAATAAGAAAGAAATGGCATAAAATATGGAAGAGAAATTTGAGATAGAAGATAATGATAGAAATTAGAATATTCTCCTAAATAATGATCTTGATACTGTATGCCAGAAATTGGAGAAACTCTTAATTAAAGAAATGAAGATCAAGTGGGAAATTTTTACTTTGGAGAAGTATATCAGCCTCCAATTTTTTAAATTGCCCACATTTGATCAAGAAATGTATATTTTTATGAGGAGCTGGAATAGGGCATCAGACTCATTTTCAGCACATATGATGGGAATCTATATAGAGCAAAGAACTCTGACTCTTCATGAATTGGATGAAAGTATGCAGAAAATCCAGACCCAATTAGAACCTTTTTCAGGTTTAGAAGAGTTTGAAAATCTCACTAGACTGATGATTAAAAAGATTAATGACATAGAAGTGTCAGTAATTAAAGTTAAAAAAAAGGCAATTAAAGAGGGATCAAGATGACTATAAGAACGGTAACGTCAGACCTCCTTAAAAAACTAATTTTAATGATAACCCTCAGAGAAACTATAATCACAAAAATAGAATAAAAGGTGCTAACAGATCAGAGAAAAAACAAGATAGACGGCCCTTTCAGAAACAAATTTCAATACCTTATAAATATAAAAATCCAGAAAGGGTTAAAAAGAACGACAAAGAAGAATGGACAGAAGTAAGATATAGGAAACCCTTTGGAGGGAGAAAAAGAGGAGAATCTATTGGTAGAGAAAAACAACAGATTCCCAATGTTCACCTATCTAATAGGTTTGAAAAGTTGAGGAATTTAGAAAGAGAGGATCCTTTTTTATATCCTGATTTTCAAAGGAAGATGGAAAAAAAGGGAAAAATGTACACCACTATAATAAGGGTTAGGGAACAAGAAGAGGGGGAAGTAGACAGAAAAGGAGGAGAGAGGAGAGAGGATGAAAGAGATAAACCCTAAAGAAAAGGGAAACCGTCTTAGAATTTTTAATTTATCAGATAAAATTAAAGTTTTAAACAAAGGTTTTAAGTTCGCACACCCAGTTGTGGCATCAATAAATTTGAATCCTTTTTAGATATTAATCGTTTTACAAGAAAATTATGTCTGAAAAGTTTTTTTAAGAATATGCCAAGAAAGGATAATATTGTAGAGGAGGATGGTTTTAAACACACTCATTGAAGAATAAGTCAACTTTTTATCCGATCAATTTGAAGACAGATTCAATTTTATTAAAGACCCGGAGGCTCTATATACCCTCAGCAGCAAAGAATACATTATTGAAGAAAAATAAACATTTGAACTAGGTATAACATCATAGTGACAATGTCCGCCTAGCAACATGACCAT